TGTCCTACAAAATTCCTAACATGGTGTCCTGCAGGCTCCCAGCACCATCCCAGGGTCTGTAACGTGAGCAGACAAGCCCCTCTGCCTGGACGCCTGAGGTTCCAGTTTTCACATCGAGGTTAGCCTCTAAATGACCAGAGAATTACTCATGGAAAAACTCTGCGAGCAGCTATTAACAAAAGGTTCCCTTTGCCCTTGGTCTTATCAGCATCCCTAGTGAATAACTGGACATTTTCACGGCACGTGTGACAACCTTCCTCTCTCATTCTGTCCCCTCCAGTTTCTCACTGAAATCTAAAATGTCCTCAAGGGGACTTCCCTGATAGTCCTGTGGCTAAGAATCCACACTCTCAATGCAGGGGGCCCCAGGTTCGATTCCAAGTCAGGGAATTAGATCCCACATGCCACAACTAAGACCTGGCGCAGCCAAATAAATTAATGCCCCCAAGAATTCCACTCAGTATTATGTAACAGCTAAATGAGAAAAGAATTTGAAAAAGGATACATGGATATGTAGAACTGAATCACTTTGCTGAAACTAACACATTNTGCCTGGAGAATCCCATGGACAGAGGAGCCTGGTGGGCTAGAGTCCACGGGGTTGCACAGAGTCAGACACGACTTAAGTAACTTAGCATGCACACACTCCATAAGTAGGTGCTCCCCACCTCCATCCTCTTTCCATTTCTTTCCATTTCAATTCTCTTTCCACTTCCCTATGTTAGCTAAAGCCTTCCCCCCTCCCCGGCCCTGGGATATCCTCTGGCTAGCTTTGAGTTATTAACACATCAGGACAGTCCATGCCCCAATGGACCCCCCACCCCAGAAGCCAGAAGTGGTGCTGGCATCCTCCTAGCTCCCTGTTTCCCCACTGACAGATAATTACTCTTCCGACTGCTGCTAAAATCCCCCTCCCCCTCTTTCATTCATAACATAATCACACTGTATTATATTTGTTTTTCTGTCTCCTGGCTTAAACACAAAGCTTTCTCAAGGTCTTCCTCAAGGTGTGCCTTCTGCAACACTGCAGCCACCATGCCCAACAGTGTCTGGCACATAGAAAGTCCTCAGTAAGTGTCTGCAGAAAGAAAGAAGCAAAGAAGAAAGGGAGAAGGATAGGAGGGAGCCTTGGAAGCTTATCCCTCTCAGTAGCAAATGTTATAAGGTCTGGTTAATGCACGGGATGATAGAATCAGATTCACAAATGTTTGAGCAGCCTTGAAGCAGGAGGCAAAGTCAGCAAGATGAAATTTAATACTGATCCATATAAATGCCTGCATCAGCTTCCAAAAATAAACCTAAGTTTAGCACCAAAAAAAAAAAAAAAGGTAAAGGAACATAAAAGCTATCTTCAAATGTATGCAGCCGCTGTGGATCATCAGACGACAGACCTGGGGCAGGGGGAGGGGTGCTGGTTGAAAGCCCAAGGGAGAAAGATTTCACAGCAGAAGTCTGTGTCATTTGTTACGTGCTAAATGCAGTGCCTGGCACGTAAAAATGGTGGCTGAATAATTCCACCACTTATTGTGGTGATCTTTCTTATTGTTATTATTACCAGCATCATTGTCATTATTTATTATTTATAAGAGCTGTCCAACAGTCTGCCTCAAGAAGCACTGAACTCCACTCCCTGGAAATCCAATGTTATCACTGGGTAGCCACCTGTCTAGGGAGTTTGTCGACCAGATTCCTAACCCCCCGCCCTGCCTTCACTGTAATCCTGTGATTCAAAGAACAATACTCTGTACATCCTGGGTAGCAAAGCTGCAGATACAATTCCTGGCTGAGCAAACTGTCTTTCATACAAAGAAGCTTTTGCACTGCCTGCATTTGTTGCAGAGAGCCTCCTTGCAGCCACCCCTCGGAAGCATCTCTTTGATGCTGAAAAATAAAATTGCTTTGTGTGAAAGCTCCCTTAATCTTATATAGATACAAATGCCTTGTATCTTTGGGGATATGCCAAACTGCTCTTAGTGTTTCAGAATTAATCTTATTAAACAAAGCTCTGTTTAATCCCCACTGCTGTTTGCTGGAGATGCTGAATAATTCCACATCTATTGCTGCTTTACCACGGGCCCTTCCCGGATTTAGTGTTGTCTGAGAAAACACATCAGCGAATCTAGGCTGGACAATGGCATTCCCACTTTGGGTTTAATGCTGTAGTTGTAGAAATGTTCCTTTATATATGTTTATGTTGATTTCTTAATGAAAGAAAAGGAAAGAAAAGGGATGGGTTGAAAGACTTGCCTGTTGTGAAAAATAACAAGTGGAATAATGAGTTGCCTCATTGACCAACTCAATATAATTACATGTGATAAACCAGTGCTGCTAATATTGCTAAGAAAAAAAGGAGTTCATATAAGGTCACTGTCTGTTGTCTATGTTTAGCCTGGGTAGCAAGAGCTGCAGATACAATTCCTGGCTGAATTGTATAGGAATATACACAACCTAGAATACAGGAAACCCCTGATTACAATACTAGTTTGTACAATGTATTTTCTATATCAGTGTGTTTACACACACATATATTCATACCAGTCAAGGGAAATTACAACTTCCTCCCTCCCAACAGACTTCTGGATCTTCTCTATTAGGAGACAACAGTGAGTGATCCAAACATGCAGCCATATAGAATAATTTTGCATTTATCACTTTTGATGCATTCTTATGATCTCCTACTATGTACCAGGCATTATTTAGGTGGCAGGAATACAACAGCAAACGAGAGTGAAGTTCCTATTCTCAGATATACAGATCAATGAACATGATACAAACGTTATGCAGAAAAGAAAACAACATGATGAAATACACAGAGATTGGGAAGTGAGGGGCTATTTTAGATCAGTTGCTCAGGGAGGGTCTCACGGGGAGGTTACAACTGAACTGACACCCAAGGAGGAGGAGCCAGGCAGCTGCAGATCTGGATGAAGAACTTTGCAGACAACTGTGTGTTAGTCACTCAGTCAGGTTCAACTCTGTGACCCCATGGACTGTAGCCCGCCAGGTTCCACTGTTCATGGGATTTTCCAGGCAAGAATACTGGAGTGGGTTGCCATTCCCTTCTCCAGGGGATCTTCCTGACCCAGGGATTAAACCCAGATCTCCCACATTGCAGGCAGACTCTTTACCATCGGAGCCACCACGGAGGCTCTCACAGACAAGGAGAAGGACTAATGGAAGACCCCTGAGCTTGGAACATGCTGGTGTATGGTGCGCAGGGGGAGCAGTCCTGGGTTCCAGGAGGGTCAGAAAAGAAGCAGGGGCCAACGTGGCAGGCCTTGGAGGCCTTTCAACGTGAAGTGGAAACCACTGGAGGGTTTCAAGCAAGGTCATTAAGATAATGACCCAACAAAGTCACCCATTTACTGCCTCGCCATCCTGTTATAACCACAACTGTGTGTGTGTGCTGTCTGCTCAGTCGCTCAGCCACATCCAACNAAAAAAAAAAAAAAAAAAAAAAAAAAACCAAAAAAAAAAAAAAAAAAAAGGACATGATCTAATTTATGTGTTAAAACCAATCACCTCTGAAGAATGAATTCTTGGAAAGCAAGAGCCAAAACAGGGAGGCCACTGTAGAAGATGGTGTATTAGACAGGAGTGATCACAGTGGTGATGGAAGGAAGAATGGATTCAGGACATTTTTTGGAAGACAGCATGAAGAGGACTTACTGGTTGATCAGCAGGCTTAGGAGGATGAAAGAGAGAATAATCAAGGATGACTCCACGTTTCCACATCTGATCAACTGCATGAATTATACCAGAGGTTCCCAAACTTTCTCAGTTCACAGCACTCTCAATATCTTAGTGAATTTTTCACAATGCCCTCTAAGCCGAAAGAAACCTACAATGGTTTTCATTTATTACTTATCTCCAAGTAATTTAATAAACACTTGTGTTACATTTTTATTGTCATATGAATGTATATTTATGTTGAAACTTAAATATATATTTATGTTGAAACTTAATACACAAAAATTGAAAGAAAAAAATAATGCTTTTACTTCAGTCTTAAGTAGCCACGATGACTTCCTAATAGAATGTGTATGTCTATCAGGCACTGCATGACTCGAGTCTTGGAGTCAGATTGCACGTGGCTACCCTCATTTCCTGTTCCATGCTGATTTTTGCATGGGATTTGCTTTGTATCTCAACAATTTCCCCAAATCCAGCTTTACAAAATATGCCATCAATTGAAAGGAACGCAGTGTAATCTAAACCAGTGAAAGTTGCTCAGTCGTGTCCAGCTCTTTGCGACCCCATGGACTGTGTCCATGGAATTCTCCAGGCCAGAATACTGGAGTGGGTAACCTTTCCCTTCTCCAGGGGGTATTCCCAACCCAGGGATCGAACCCAGGTCTCTTGCATTGCAGGCAGATTCTTAACCATCTGAGCCACCAGGGAAGCCCAAATCTAAACCACTAGTTCATACAATATCCAGCAGATGCTGAATATGGCTGTTTTCCTAAAAACTTTTAAGTCCACTGCAGCATCCCTGTGAGTTCTCTGCAGTACCTGGGAAGCTTTGATGCTCAGATTGGCCAGACCATTTAGTGACAGGACGTGGGTGAGGAATGGCAGGGGAGATACATAAGTGAGGGTTGCTTGGTTTGATTTCCATGGGGGAAATTCAGGGATTTCCATGGGGAACACCCAGGAAGAGCTACTGACCAAGAAAGATTAAGCAAAAAACATGTACTTCAAAAACAAATTCCATTTCATCTTAGTCTAGGAAAAATATCTACTATCCAGTATTCTTAAGAAACAAGGTGTTCTCTGGCTAATTTTCTGGATAACTAAGAGCTAACCAGAGGGACTCCCCTGGTGGTCCAGCGGCTAAGACTCCACACTTGTAAGGCAGGGGACCTAGGTTCAACCCTTGGTTAGGGAACTAGATCCCACATGCCACAACTAAGAGTTTGAATGTAGCAACTAAGACCCGGCACAGCCAATATATAAATATTCTTTAAAGAAAGAGCTAACCAGAAAACTTTTCTTTTTCCAGCTGTTACTGTTGAAGAATCTCTTGACTTGGACTCAGTTCACTCCCTGACATTGTAAGTATTGCCCATGAGCGTAACTAGATATATTAATAACTGCAACTGTGTCTTCTAGGTCTCGAAGGCTGCACAATCATGATTGCAAATAATCCTTACAACCCTCCCTGTGGGCCATACTGTTATCCCAGAAACAGCGATGGCAAAATGCATCTCCATGAAATGAACTGTATTTTAAACATATTGTTTCCCATCAAGGGCATAATATTAACATCAAGCCTAGATGTGACCATCCACGGGGCATCTGAAAAAACACAGACATAGGATTACAAACTCTTATGCACAACACCTATAATCCAGAAGGTTCTAAAAACTGAAAGTTTTTAAGTTTGATAAGTTTGTGGCAAACTCATTTGGACACAAAACCCAACCTGCTAGAACTTGAAAGTGTTAGTCACTCAGTCATGTCTGACTTTGTGACACCAGGGACTGCAGCCTGCCAGGTTCCTCTGCCCATGGAATTTTCCAGGTGAGAATACTGAAGCCATTTCCTACTCCAGGGGAATCTTCCTGATCCTGAAAGCAAAATCCAACTTGAACTGATGTGGGGCTACTTAAAGTTTGTTTTTATCCCACTTATTGTGAACAATTATGTGTCTTGCTGCAGAAATACTAATAAGATTCACTACAGTGCGGCCCCAGACCCCTCTAAGGTTGTTATACATCTGTGATATATTCACCCTAAGGCCAGTTGAAATTAGAAAAAAACCTTAATTCCACAATACACTGGCCCCAGGGGTTTTGAATAAGAGATAGTCTTTAGAAACAGAGGGCAGAAAGAAGCCTAGATCTCTTCTAGGTCAATCCATTAACATTAGAAGTGAGAAAAGAAGCCTAGACAAATGTGTGGGAGGAGCCAGTAATGTGTTCAAAATCACATATTCAGTTTGGAGCTCAGCCAAGACAGAACTATTTCTCCTGCCACCTGCTTCCCCAGAAGGCGGCCTATGTGTGTATGTTAGTCCCTCAGTCGTGTCCGACTCTTTGTGACCCCATGGACTGTAGCCTACCAGGCTCCTCTGTCCATGGAGTTCTGCAGGCAAGAATACTGGAGTGGGTTTCCATTCCCTTTTCCCGAGGATCTTCCTGACCCAGGGACTGAACCCAGGTCTCCTGCATTGCAGGCGGATTCTTCACCACTGCAGAGGTGGCCTATGCACGTGCTCAAACATGTTAAGAACACAGGTGTCTTAGCACTCCGCTGGGGCACACTCAAAATACATGCTTCTACTGAGTCGTTAAGTTGAACCATCTGAAAAGAATACGTCATCAGTTATAACAGTTACCTGCTTTGTTCCTCACCATACTGACAGTTTGAGGGAGGTTAATTCAAAGCCATTCTATATGACTCTTGAAAATGAGTCCAGTAAGCTTTTAATTAAGGATGTCTTTTCATCTGAATGAATTTCCTTTTAGCAATTAGAAACTCTAAAGATTATTCCTTTGTTCTTTTAAATAGTTTCTTTGTTCTTGGAATATTTGAAGGAACCGCTAAGAACTTGAGTTGTAAAGGCTGGAAAGATGACATCTCTCGCTAATCCCCTCTGGTACAGGGCGGTTTAGACTTGGAACTGAGCAGATGTAGTCTGAATCCCAAATGTGGTGCTTAGGAACCATGGCCTAAGCCAGTCACCAATCTCTATAAGGTCTGATTTTCTTCGTTGAAAAATAGGATAATAACACTTTACCAGATTTTTGTGAATCGTGAAGTTTAAAAATAAAAGTAAAATACTTTGTTCTGGGTACCTAGTAAGTGCTCAGTAAATGACGGAAAGCCGGCTTTCCCCTCCCTCCCTTTCCTCACTCTCCTTCCTGGATCATGGAGAACACACATATTTACCTGTAGCAGAGGAGGAGGCTTTGAGAAGGAAAAGTGAGAATGTTGGGGCTCAGTCGTGTCTGACTCTTTGCCACCCCATAGACTACAGCCCGCCAGGCTCCTCTCCATGGGATTCTCCAGGCAAGGACACTGGAGTGGGTTGCCATTTCCTCCTCCAGGTGATCTTCCCGACCCAGGGATCCAACCTGAGTCTCCTGCTTTGTAGGCAGATTCTTTACCATCTAGTGCGCTAAGAGCTCGCCTTCCAAACAACACAAGCCCTTCTGCCCACAGAGCAGCCAGTATTATAAAAGAACACCATACTTGGGGACGGGAGATACAGGTTCAAGTCCGAGCTTGGCCACTTATTGATTGTCTGACTTTAACCAAGACCTTTGCTTTCTCTGAGCCTTAGTGGTGTCATCTGTAAATTGCAGAGAATAGCGTTTGCTGCACAAGATGGCTATGATGAATACATTCACTATGGCACGTTTGTTACAAATATATAATACATACATATGTATACATAATACATATAATACAACTCAGTATTATACAAATCGGTGAAGCCTAGAGAAGACAGAGAAGAACCCCAAATGTGAAAAGAGGAGAACATTTTCCTGATTTAAGTAAAAGAGAAGGCAGAGGTGAAAACTTATAACCCTGGTGGTTTTGATACTGGTGCTGGGCAGAGTTCCAGGACATGTCCTGTGATGGTTGGGAAGCATCTGGGAGAAGTGACAGGCTGTGTGGATTCCTGGAAGAGCAGGTCATGGAGGGCAGGACCACTCCACCCACCCCTTAAAGAAGGGGATAGACCCTGAGGAGGGCAGAAGTCTCAGAGAGCCAAAGAGAAGGGGGCAGTAGAAAATTGAGGGGGCGGGGCCTCAAGAGTCAAGGGGCGGGGCTCTGAGAGCCAAGAAGGAGGGGCCTCAAGCAGCCGAGAGGGAGAGTCACGGAGCAGAGGGGAGGGGTCTCAGAGCCCCGTCCTCGGCAGTTTCTGGTTTAACATTTGTGTCCATGATTTGAAGAGGACACGGTTAATAGGGAATGGCCGGCAGCCCAATAAAAACTTACTGGGAGGAGCTGGAGAAAATGTGAGGAACACCCTGCCCTTTTTTGGAGATGGTGCTCGAGCCCCCAGGGTTAAGTGTTCTCAGACCCCCACGCAGTGCGGGGAGGTGGCCTCACACTCAAGCCGGAGCTCCTGACACCCTGCCCGCACGGCAGCGGGAAGCCAAGACTGCGGAGGAGGGCCTAGAAACCACACCGGCTGTGAGCTCTGGAAGGAGCTCCTCCATTCAATAAATAACGCAGCATTACCTACCATGGTAATGTTCTAGACGCAGGCTGATTAGTGAAAACAAAGATCCCTGCCCTCGGGGAGCTTACATCCTAGTGAGAGGAGACAGATACTGCCGGTAACAAGTGAATAAAGCATGTAGTATGTTAGGAAGCGAACTCTGGGAGATGGTGAAGGACAGGGAAGCCTGGCGTGCTGCAGTCCATGGGGTCGCAAAGAGTCTGAAACACAACTGAGTGACTGAACAACAAAATGTTAGGGAAGTGATATGTGCTCTGGAAAAAAAGGGAAAGTGGAGAAGCTTAAGGGAGAAGGAAATGCTGTGATGGGGTGGGTGACAGCAAGCAGGATGGTGGGGACCAGCCTCATTGAGGCAGCGCTGGGAAGGAGGTGAGAGGTTGTGAGCCGGGCAGATACCTGGGGAGCAGGCCCTCGGGACAGGGAGAGCAAAGGCCTCAGGTGGGCCAGCACCAGTGTGACGGAGGTGAAGGGAGGGAAGGGGAGAGAAGTGGGAAGGAGATGGGAGACGTGATGGAGGCCAGTCAGGAAGGACCTCACAGGCCCTGAAAGGGCCTTGGCTTTTTCTTTTCTAATGTATTTATTTATTTGGCTGCATGGGGTCTTAGCTGCAGCGCACAGGATCTTTAGTTGTGGCCATGTGGATCTAGTTCCCTGGCCAGGGAATGAACCCAGGCCCCCTGTACTTAGCCACTGGACCACCAAGGAAATCCCAGATCTTGGCTTTTAATCTAAAAGATGGGAGCCCTTGAAGGGTTGTATGGGGAGGGGAGCGAGGTGATGCGATTTGTGTCTTGCAAGCTGGCTACCCTGTGAAGAACAGACATGCTAGAGGCCACCTCAGTAACCCAGGCAAGATGTGATGGTGGCTCAGACCGGGAGGGGAAGTGACGGGATTCAGAGAGGGTGAGAAGTGGGGAGGTCCTTTGGTGGGCTGATGTAGGGTGGGAAAGACAGAAAAGTGTCACATGACCCCAAAGGCTTTGTCGTCAGCCAGGAGGTCTGGGGAGGAAGAGCAGGATCCCATTTTGGGCATGAGAGTCTCAGATGTCTGTTAGACGGCGAGTGGAGATGCTGAAAATGCAGCTGGAGGGCTGAACCTGGAGCCCTGGGAGGAGGTCTGATCGCTCCCTTCAGACCCTTGAGCAGCTGCCCAGCGGAAGAGGAGTGAGAGCTCTTCACTGAGGCTCCCCCAGGACTGAAAACACGGATGAAGGGGAGGGAGTCAAAGTGAAGGAGGCTCTGATTCAACGCCAGGACTTCCAAACCAGGCTGCTGGAGACTGAATGAGCGGCCTCATCCAGGCTGTTTTACAGTAATAGCTGACAGTTCCCCTGAAACCAGGGCTGAGAGTCAGAAAACAGACTGACCCATGGGGAGAGAGTTTCTGCATCGACAGATAAAACAGCACCACAGAATTCCCTTGGGCCAAGCAGCTTCGTAGAGGGGTCTGGCCTCCTAAGAATGAGGGCGCTCACTCACCGCGGTCACTCCCTGTGGGCCATCACTTCCCCCGGGGCCCAGCCACTAGGAGCTGAGCTGAAGGATGGGCAGACCTGAATATCTAAACCTCCGGAAATCAATATTCATTGGAAGGACTGATGCTGAAATTGAAGCTCCAATACTTTAGCCACCTTGATACGGCAACCCACTCCAGTATTCTTGCCTGGAGAATCCCATGGGCAGAGGAGCCTGGTGGGCTACAGTCCATGAGGTTGCAAAGTCAGACACGACTGAGCATGCATGCAGAAGTAACAGCATACTTCATGTCTGTGCCTGGTACTACTTACATGTGTCCATATTGCCTCACTGAATCCTCACGGGAAGTTGGTACTATTACTGTTCCTATTCTACAGAGGA